TAAGACCCCTTCCCCTATTCATACCACCCCCCCAGGCCCAATGAATTCTGCCATGCATGTTTAAGTCCCATCTGATCAAACATTTTACCTGGATGTCCTTCAGTGCAAGTTCATCCACTGGAGTCTATTCAGCCTATCGAGAGAACTTAAGGAAGGCGTACCCTCCTCACCCAGCAGTCATCAGTCTCCAAAAGTTCTCAGGCTAGGGCTGGACACCTGCTTTATTATTTTCATTTTATATTTGTGAGTCTATTGCCTGCATGTATGTAAGTGCACCTGTGTCATGCAGTGCCTGTGGAGGTCAGAAGAGGGCGTCAGATCCCCTGGAACTCGAGTTATGGACAGTTGTTAGCCACTGTATGGGTGCTAGGAATCAAACCGGGTCCTCTGCAAGAGCAGCCAGTGCTCTTAACCACTGAGCCTTTTCTCTAGCTCCCCAACCTGGCTTTGAATGCCTGATCTGTTTGTCTCAACTTCCTGAGTACTGGGATAACAGGTGTGAGCCACCATGGGTGAGGAGACTGATGTTTGAAGACTCATGTCTTGTCCCTGGCATGGTCAGCCAAGGGCTTGATAGCATAAGGCAAGGGGCTGAAAGGAAGAGAGGAGACGGGGGCAGCCCCTGCAAGGGTGGGGAGGGCAGGAAGTTAGAGGGTGGCCAACCCAAGGAACCAGAGTGGGGAGGGTGCTTGGACCTGGGGAAGACCCAAGACGATGCTGGGAAGGGGTGGGATGTGCAAAGACCAGGCCTCGTTTGTGGCTGTTATTTTCTTGAAGCAGGATGCTCTGCCACGGAGCCCCACCACAGAAGAGCGCACAGTGCTCCCTTAGCCTACTTTGCAGAGAAAGTCCGTTGTTTTATTGGCTTGTCAGAGATCCCCACCAGTACAGACAAAACCCCTTGACCATTCTTACCATATCCTTCCCTTTAGGGTACCTGTCGTCAGGAAACTGGGGGGTCTTCTAGTAGCCCTTCCTATAGTGTCACGCATATGTACAAATGTGGGAGTTCCTTCTCAGTCAAATCTAATGTTTCTTTGTGTGTGTGCTTGTGTGCGTGTGCGTGTGCGTGTGTGTGTGTGTGTGTGTGTGTGTGTGTAGGTTAGAGGTCAACATCTATTTTCCTCTATTGCTTTCTACCTTACTTAAAAAAGTATGTGTGTAAGTGTATTGCCTACATGTATGCAAATGCCCCACATATATGCAGTGCCCAAAGAGGCCAGAAGAGGATGTTGGATCCCCTGGAACTGCAGTTACAGAAGGTTGTTAGCTGCCACGTGGGTACTGGGAACCAAACCTGGGTCCTCTGCAAGAGCAGCCAGTAGCGGTTCTCTCACTGAACCTGGAGCTTGACATTTCATCTAGGCTGGTTGGCCAGGGAGCTGCTGGAGTCTGCTTGCCTGTTCCCCCCAGGGCTGGGGTTACAGAAGCATGTGGTTACACAAGTTTTTACATGAGGGCTGGGGATCTGAACACGAGTCCTCAGGCTTACATAGCAACACCTTTGCCACTGAGCCATCTCCTCAGCCCTTGAATCGAATGCATTTCTGAAACTGTGAGAGACAGTGGCTTTTTGGGGATAGCAATATATTCTGTTCAATTCACTGATATAAGACTGATGCATTGTCAATCAGTCAGACACCCCTACGAGTTTCCACAGCATTGCTTGACACTCTGACATTCTGAAGCATCCCATTCCTTTTTTTCCCATGAACAGAGAGTTTCAATGAATACTGAATTATCTGCTGCTGTAGTGTTGTAATCAGTGGACATGTGCTGCGTGTTAGATAGGGAATGCCTCCCCGACAAACTCATGTAGTGAAGGCTTGGTCTCCAGCTGGTGGTATTCTTTTGGAAGGTTCTAGAAACTTCAGGAGGAGAGGCTTAGCTGGAGGGTTACTGGGGCTGTGCTCTTGGGAACTGTGTTTTGTCCCAGGCTAGTGAGAGAGTGTCAGCTACAGTACACAATATGGGCGTGAACACATGTGGATGCACCTGTGGGCACACAGATGTGCACATCTAGTCTCCAAATTGTCAGAGTTGTTCCCTTATATAACTACCTAAAGATCTACCTCTTGAATTTAGCCCTAGCTGGTCTGGAACTTACTATGTAGACCAGGTTGGCCTTGAATGCACAGAGCCTACATCTGCCTCCCAAGTGCTGGGACTACAGGTGTGTGCCACCACGCCCGACCCAGAAACTAGCTTTTAAATTACATTTCATTTATTTAGTGTAGATGTGTATGTGTGTGAGTACACATGTATCCCGGGGCATGTGTGGAGGTCAGAGGACACCTTGTAGGAAGTCAGTTCTCCTCCCCACCATTTGAGGCCCAGGAATTGAAGTCAGGTTGTTAGGCTTGGTGGGAAGTGCTTTAACCTGCCAAGACATCTCACTGGCCCTACATTGTATGTGTGTGCGTGCGTGCGTGCATGCGTGTGTGTGTGTGTGTGTGTGTGTTAATGACTTATGTCTAGCTTTGCTTAACTGTGTTAGTAATTTAAGAAAGACTGCGTAACAAATGCATACAAATTTCTATATCTTTGTTAAAATTGTTGGGTGCTGCTAGGTGTGGTGAAATCCCTGTAATCTCAGTATTTGGGAAGCTGAGGCAGAACTGTGAGTTTGAGGCTGGCCTGAGCCACATAGTGAGGTGCTGTGTCAACTCCCCTAACCATCCCCTTAATTGGGTCTTAATTGGGAACATTCACTTCACCCTCACGAAGACACTGTGGTCAAGTATAATGTTCCTGCTCTTAACTTTTGGGGAAATAGAGGCAAAGTGAACTCAGCACCTGAAGCCACTTGCTGTGAAGGGGATTCTGGGAGACAAACCCAGGCTGGCTGGATCCAGAGTTCATCTGTCTGAATACCAGCCTACTATGTTTCATGAGTTGAGTGGCCCCTGGGAATGTGGAATGTTGTTTGCCCCTCCAACCCTGGGCTCTTCTCCTAGCCTTCAGAAGTCACCAGGTTGATTACTCTGGCAACCAGCCCCCATCCTGAGACTCTCCTGGTCATAGGAACAACACATCAGTTTGGAGATGCCATGAGTTTTAAGAATTTGGTGCCAGGAAATGGGGTCACATACCAATTACGTACACCTTATTATCAAACACAGGATCATAAAATCGCAGCAAGTTACTGTTTTGATACCAGCAGACTGGTTCAAAAGTTTATATGGAAAATCTGAAGAGTTGGTAGCCTACACAGTGTTAAAGAACCAAGTTGAAGGATTGAAGCTACAATCATCACCCATAGCTACGGTAATTCAGAAGTGTGTTAGCAAAAGTATAGAGTGGCGCTGGGGAGACAGTTCAGTGGGTAAGAGCACTTGTTGTACAAACGTGGAAACCTGGTTCAAATCCCCAGTGCCCGTGTAAAAAGCTGGGCATGGCTGCATGTGTACCCGCAGCTGCAGCGCTGTGGGGGGTAGGGGCAGGATTGTTGGGGTTTGCTGGCCACCAGCCTATCTCCAGGATCAGTGAGAGGCCCTGTTTCAAGAGAATAAGTGGAATGTGATGGAGCAGGACACCTGATGTGTCCTCTGTATGTGCATGTATCTCCTTACACAGAATGGGTACATCAGTGGACAAGGTGGGAACTACCAGGTGTTGCCTATGGAGTGTTGACAAAGGAACAGCGACAGTCCGGTGGAGTCAGGACAGTCTTCTCAGAAATGTGATGAATGATGCTTACCTGGGGAGAAAAGGTGGGAGGGGCCAGGATGATGTAATGGACGGTTTGGATGATGTAATGAAGACACCAGGCCTAGTTGGTGAAGGTGCATCTTTTGAAGCATTTTTTAACATATATTTTATTTATTATTATTTTTTTTATTTTATGTGTACGAGTGTATTGCCTGCATATATGTGAGTGCACCCATGTCGTGCAATGCCGCCGAGGTCAGGAGAGGGCTTTGGATTCTCCTGGAACAGGAGTTAAGGAAGGTTTGTAGCCCCCAGATGGGTGCTGAGAATCGAACCCAGGTTCTCTGCAAGAGTAGTCAGTGATCTTAATCACTAAGCCATCTCTCCAGCCCCTGAAGCATTTTTTTTGTTTGTTTGTTTTTTGGAAAGGATGTGGCATCTAAGGAATGCTAAATCCTAAGTGGAAGGTTCTGTCTGGCTGGTCAGTGGTGCATGGCTCTAGAGTGGCTGTGTTTTGACCCTTTTCTTTAAAATGTTTTATTATTTTAATTTTATGTGTATGCGTGTATTGCCTGCATGTAGGTAATTGCACCTGTGTCGTGCAATGCCCGAGGACTGAAGAGGCTGTTGGATCCCCTGGACCTGGAGTAACAGACAGTTGTTAGCTGCCATGTGGGTGCTGAGATTCAAACCTAGGTCTTCTGCAAGAACAACCAGTGTTCTTAGCCACTGAGCCATCTCTCCAGTCCCTGACCTCTTTCTTTAAAAGATTTTTTTGAGCCAGGTGTGATGGTGCTCACCTTTAATCCCCATCACTCAGGAGGCAGAGGCAGGTGGATCTCTGTGAGATGGAGGCCAGCCTAGTAGCGAATTCCAGGCCAGCTAGAGATACAGGAAGACCCTGTCTCAAAAAGACCAAAAAAAAATTACTTTTGAATTATTGATTTTTATTTATGTGTGTGAATATTTTGCCTGCGTGTATGTAAGTGCATCACATGCACTGCGGGGGCCAGAAGAGATGTTGGATCCTCTGGAACTGGAGTTTCAGATGGTTGTTAACTGAATCAGGTTCCTCTGTAAGAGCAGTTAGTGCTGTTTACTGCTGAGCCATCTCTCCAGCCCCTGGGCCTCTTTGTTAAGCATTTCTCCCCACCCCCACCCCTGTGTGTATGCGTCTGTGTGTACATGCCTGTACATGTCTCTGCCTGTTGACTTTTTCTGTTCATACTGACCCGCTTCCTTCTTTCACAGAGTGTGAGTGTCTCCTCCAGCCTCCCCGTCTCTTCGTCTGTCCTCCTTCCTCTATGTCCCCGTGCAGTCCCAGATTTTCTGTCTCTTTCTTCTTTCAGCAACTCCTTCAAGATCCCAACATGCGCTGACCCTGCCATGTGCCGACCACCATGCCAAGGTGGGGCTGTGGTCTGAGGAAAGTGCTGCAGGTGTTTGGATTCACTCTGAGAGTACGTGCTGTGGGGATATGAATGAGAAGGGGCTTGGTGCAAATGAGGACAGGAGGTAGACATTTGTCCCTGTTCAGTGATGATGGAGCTGAGGTAGGTGGGACATCTGGAGCTAACCAGGCTAAGAACCTAGTTGAGCCAATAGCACAAGCTAATGTCCTGTGGTAGGAATGGGCATCAGTTCAGAGGTGGAGTGTGGAGGGTGCACCAGGCAGTCAGTGGTCCTTATTTGTAACAGCAGTTGGACACTGTTGGAGGCTTTGACGGCAACGGGTGGCAGGCACATTTGACGAAGATGACTGTGGTGGTGATAGGTTGCTGTAGGGAGATGAATCAGGAGGTTACTTTGAGTTCAGAAAGCAAGATGTAATGACAACTCAGATTATGGTGTTGTCCTTGGGAATGGGTAGAAATTAACAGATTCCAGAGCGATCGCCAAAGTAGACTTGATAAAACTGGCTCAAGATAGTGTTACACACATGTGTCAGCTTTATAATTCTGCTGGAACAGGAAAGAACTTCCAGATTCCCACTGAGAGAGACTTTATTAGGGAAGGAGACTCCTTAGACTAGATACACACAGTAAAGAAGGCCTGCTTGAAGGTCAGATCCCTAGGCCGGCAGTCAGCTGGGTGGGGAAGACCTGCTTCTATAAATAAGCCTTAACACCATTGAGAGAACCACAGGCTGGGGCTGGAGCGATGATGGTTCAGAGGTGGTTAAGAGCACTGGCTGTTCTTGCAGAGGACCCAGGTTCACATCCCAGAACCCACATGGCAGCTTCTATAACTCCAGTTCCAAGGTATCTAACACCCTGTTCTGGCCTCTGAGGGCATTGCACAAATGTGGTGCACTTACATACATGCAGGCAAAAAAACACATACACATAAAAGTAAATAAATCAAGGAGCTGCAGGCGTGTGTGTGTGTGTGTGTGTTTTGAGGCAGGGTCTTATTATGTAGCCTGGGAACTTGCCATGTGGCAACTCGGGGAGAACCAAAGCCCGCAGGTGAGGCCCGCAGGTGAAGCCATATTGGAACTGAACCCTCTGCTCCCAATGATCCTCTTACCACAGGTTGGCCTCTAACTTTTGCTGTTCCTGCCTCAGCCTCCTGAGTGCTGTAGTTATAGGTGTGGCTCACCATGCTTGGCCCTCTCCCTTTGTGTTTTTAAAGTAGTTATTCAGTGCTTGCTTCTTCCCTCCCTCCCTCTCTTTTGTTTGAATTGAGGCAACACTTGGGGCTGTTAGGACTCAAGGAAAAAGAGCCAAGGTCAGTCACAGGGACAGTTAACCTTCAGGGCTACCCATTGCTGTCAATGATCATCAGTCCATCTGTTGCTGTGACGGAATGTTCTACATCTCTTCCCTTAACTCCTGATTCCATTGCCAAAGCTCACTGTCCTGGTTTAATGTGCCTGTCTCGGGAAGGGGGTGAAGGCTGACTGGGAGGCAGGTGGCTAAAACCTTTATGACAGTCAGTTTTCTATCGCTGTAGCAAAATGCCCAAGAAGATCCACTTAAAGGAAGAAGAAAGGTTTTTGGCTATTTTTTGGCTCATGGTTCCAGAGGTTGCAGGTCCTCCATCACTTGGTTCTGTTGTCTCTGGGCTGTGGGGAGGCAGGGAGAAGAGCCTGTGGGGGAGCAGAGCTGGCTCACCTTATGGTGGCCAGGACAGAGGGAAGGGGAGGGATGGGGAGGCAAAGAGAGAAAGAGGATGGGAGGGAGGGAGGGAAGGAAAGAGAGGAAGAGAAGGAGGAAAGGACAGAGGAGGGGCGCAGAAGGGAAGAGGAGGAAGGAATCAAGAGCAAGATATCTCATTTAAGTACCTACATCCTCCAACTAGGCCCCACCTCCTACCCAGCACCTCCATCAGGTTCCGAACCATCAATGGGTTACTTCATGCACAAGGTCAGAACTCTGATCCAGTCACCTCCCAAAAGCCCCCTCTGATCAATGCTTCCAGTGCCTGGTCCAAACTGACAAGAGTGCTAGGGGACATTTAATTTTCAAACCATAGTACCCCTCCTTTACCAGGGCTAGTGGGGTGGCAGGTGCCTGGGGGCTTTGGTTGAGGAGTGGGGCTTGTGCTCACATGGGATCTCGTTGAAGAGATGGGCTCACAGGTCCCTTCCTGGGATGGAGTGCTGGATGCCTGGGCTTCAGGGTATGACTGTCCTCTTCTGGAGTGAACTCAAGTTCTGTGTGGCTGGTGTTTGCTTCAGTGAATGACATGGAGATAAGAAAGTGTGTTTGCTTACTCTCAGTGGACATCATGGAGATAAAGGAAATCTGCCCAGGGAGGAGCTGTAAGGACTTCGAGCGTGCCAAGGCCGTCCATCACCAAGAGGACTGCTGCTTCACCATCCTCTATGGCACCCAGTTCGTCCTCAACACGCTCAGTCTGGCAAGTGGGTGCACATTTGTCTGCTTTCTCTCTCCCTGGGCCTCCTCTCCTGCTGAGAAATTTCTCTAGTGGCCGTTGTGCACCCGCCCGCCCACTATGCATGTTTGGGGTGTCCTGGTCTTGAGTCCCAGCCCTCCCACCTTCTAGCTGTGTGTCTTTGGGCAAGGTACCCCACCTCTCTGAGCTGCAGTTTGCTTGGCTGTGAACTGAGGAGAGCGGCAATACCCCTCCTTGGGGTATCTGGTTGAGAGTAGAACAATGTCAGCGTGGCCCCTGCAGGCGGGGCTCTGCTGGATGGCGTCACCTGCTTCCTCCAGCAGGGACTGCACAGCAAACATTGGCCTGATAGGACTGTCCTGAGTCCCTGGGTGCACATGTAGCACAGAGCACACACATGCAGGCACAGAGCGCACACATACAGACACAGAGCACATACATAGCACAGAACATACAGAAAGCACAGCGCACACACATGCAGGCACACAGTACACACACGTACAGAGCACACACATGTAGTCACAGTATACACATGCAGACATAGAGCACACACATAGGAACAGAGCACACACATGCAGCGCAGAGCACATACATACCCCATACCACACACAAAGCACAGAGCACACACATGCAGGTATAGAATACACATACAGCACAGAGCACACACATGTATCACAGAGCACACACACAGCACGTAGCACATACATGCAGCATAGAGCACATAGAAACAGCAAATAGCACACACACAGCACAGAACACAGACAGAGAATACACATAGCACAAAGAACACATATGCAGGCATAATACACATACATGCACATAGAATATACACAGCACAGAATACACACAGGCACAGAACACATCTGTGCAACACAGAGACACACATGCATACAGCACACACAACACATGCATGCAGGACACACCCATGTATGTACACACCACACCTGCATACATTTATACAGAGCACACATGCACACATATAGCACATGCGTGCACACATGCCTGCAAACATGACACCCTCATGCATACACATAACACATATGCATACAAAACACATACACACAACACCTACATGTGTACACAAATGTATGCATACAGAACACTCACATCACACATGTATATGCACACAGCACACACATATACCCATAATATACACACATTCATGAAGGCACACAACTCACTTGTGGGTGGTTATATAGAACACTCACAGCACACATGCATGCACATATTGACACATGAATACACGCACATACTATGCCCCACTGTGCACACATCCAACATGCATGCACACATACAACACACACAATGCATTCATGGAATACACACATGAATGTACAGATAACATACAACACAACACACATATCACATACATGCACGCATACTTACCACACAATGCACATACCCAGTGCACACAGCACACACATGCATATCTGGAGGTGAAGTGTCTGGCCATCCCCATGTGTCCGACAGGAGGCAGAAGACTGAACTGAGGAGGTCTGGGCAGAGCACCACGTCTAGCCGTGGGTTCCATCTCCCAGCAAAACAGATAGAGAAAGGCATGTGAGAGACAAGGCATGTGGCGGGTGAGGGCTGGAAGTTACTTTCAGACCCAGTCCTGGAGCTGATGAGAGCAAGCAGATGTGTTAAAATGGACCGAGGGGCGGGGGCACGGGCAGAGCAAGGTGGGGACACTGAACTAGGCGTCAAGCACTGTTAGGAGTTTCTCCTTATACCCAGGAGGCCCAGCTTCCACATGCATCCCTCCCTCCTCTTTACAAGGGCACTGATCCCTTTGTGGAGTCCCCACCCTCATAACCACATGTAAATCTGCTCATGTCCCCAGGGTCCCGCCTCCAAGTGCTGCCCCATCAGGGTTAGCACTTCCACATGTAAATTCTAAGAGGCGTGTTCAGGCCACAGTGGCCACTGAAGGGCTGTGTGGCCCTGGTCACATCACTGACCCTTGTCTTAGATTCAGTATCGCCATGTGTTGTGTGGGAATCACTGCTGTTCTTTGCTGCTGCTGCTGTTCAAGATCAGGTAATACAAGAAAGGCATGTGGAGTGGTGTCCAGTGGACAGGAGCACACACATGTCAGCTGTGGCTCAGTGACCACACCAGGACTACTCTTGGCTGATTAATTGGGCTCAGGAGAGAACCCACCTGTCCCTGTGGCAGAGGCTCATCTCGGGTTGCCTCCCCTCACAGAGAAGTAGGTCTCAGGCTGTGAAGATTGGAAGGAGTTGCTTTCTGGGTGTGTGTAGCTCTGGAAGGGGCCTAAGTCCCTCCTGGCCTATGGCTATGTGTGTGCTTGGGCAGGGGCCCAGGAGTTCACACTCCCTCTCTCTTCCATTCCCCCCTCAGCCGACTCGAAGGAGGACGCAGTGAAGTGGTTGTCTGGCTTGAAGATCCTCCACCAGGAAGCCATGAGCGCATCTACTCCCACCATGATCGAGAGGCATGTGGCTTGACCTTCACCCACTCTTTAGTTCCGCTGCCTTTGGGAATGTGGACCACAGCGAGGGTGGGTGGAGGTGGGATGGAACATTGCGTCCTTAATCTCATTAGTGCCTTGCATGCAGTGGTACCAGATGGTGGTGGAGGTATCCTCAGTGTTCCAGATAGGACCTTTTCTCCTTAGTCTTCAGCCCTAGCCTTTGGGGGTGAGTAGGGCTGTGCAAACACTCTGTGTGTGTGTGTGTGTGTGTGTGTGTGTGTGTGTGTATGTGTGTCCGCATATGTGTCTATGTATGCATGCATATGTGTCTGTGTGCTTCTGTGGCATTTCTAAGCCACGTTATGAGGATGAGGATGCTTGAAAAAGAGACATCCTGATTCTTAGTATCATAAGGCCATGAGTGGACCTGACCTGCCAAGAACCTGTTCCTTTAGATGCCTGTGCTCCCCAGCCAGGCTTCGCTCCTTTTATTGAGTCAGTATCTCCAGCATGAAATGGGGATGTAGAAGTCAGAATGCTCCCTTGTCCATCAGAGTATCTTTCCCTCTGATCCCCCAGCCTGGAATACCACACACAACAGCAAACAGATGTCTCTCATTGTTTGCAATGAGAAATGCTTTCAGCACCTTGATCTGTAAAGCAGGCTACTCACATCCATTCCCTCCCTCAGGGTATCTTAGGTGGAGGGCAAGGAGGGGTCCTGAGGGATTAAGGTCAGGTGCCCAGGTCACAAGAGGAACACGTGGCTCAGTGAGCTTGTTTACATTATAAACGGTAACTTTTTGGTTGCAAGGTTAGGTAAAAGTGTTTTCTTTGGATTATGTCCATTTGTAAAGTCATTCTACCTTGCTTCTGTATGCCTGTTGTGTACATAAACATGTGTGTGCCTGTGTGTGTGCATATTTCTGTATCTGTGTATGTGTCTAGTTGTGTGTTCACAATGCATGTGCATGTATGTATGCATTCACATGTGTGTCTCTGTTTCTTTGTATGTGTGTTCATTTGTGTATTCACATATGTATACATACACATGTGTATGTCTCTGTATCTCTATGTGTATGTGTCCATGTGTATGTGTGTGTATGAATCTGTGTAGGGGTTTGTGCACGCACATGTGTATTGGTGTGTGAGAAGGGGTTTTCCTCCTGAAGGAATTTAGCAGTGAATTAAGTGGACTGATGCGTGCATGACCTGAGACTGGGTCTGGAAGCCACTAGCCCACCGTGGCAAGTTAAGGCCATCTAAGGAGTGTCTTCAGTGGAGTGTGCATACATGGGATGGGGATGGCTTACCCTCCCCATGGACCAAAGCCCTCGTCCGTGCACCATTCCCGTGCCAAGTCTTCGGGAATTAGTGATGAGGAATTGCCTTTTATGGAAACTCAGCTTTGTCCCACGAAGGGTTCTCCGGGCTCAGTCACGGGTCTACAGCCATGGGGGGACTGGTTCCCGTGCTGCCCTGTGAGGGCTGGAAACCCCCTTCTGTTTAGATTCCTTTTCCTTATCCAGCAGAACTTCCTTAGGCCACACGCTGCATTTTCTAACGTTTTCTCTTTTTGGCCGCAATCTCTTTCCAGTTGGCTGAGAAAGCAGATTTATTCAGTGGATCAAACCAGAAGAAACAGGTAAGAAGCAGCCACAGCTGTTCAGTTTCCTCTGGTTTTTGTTTATTTGGGGGGTGGGGGGTTGGTAATGTCTTGTGGTGGCACAGGTCTCGTGAGGATGGCTCTGACCTCCAAAATGCCCAGTGCTGTTAGGTTAACAGTGACCAGATTCTTGCATGGGCAGAGCTTCTAATGGAAAGTTCTAGTCCAGCTGCAGCAATGACATGTCTGCCCTGGGCTCTGGTGCCTCGGCACAAAGATTAGAACACCTGCTTTGTCCTGGGAACAGAACAGGAAACGTGGTCACCGGGGCACCTGCGCTGTGTGGTGGGACAAGCTGGCCCTGGAGGAGCCAGCCAAGTTCAATGGCAGTGGTGTGAGGCTGTGTGGGATGAGGTGGATGATGTACTGATGTGCCCTTCAGTCCACTCCACAGTCCCTGTAGACTGTGTCACACAGTGGGACCTCCCTCCTTCCTCCCCTCCGTCTTTTCCTCTTCCCTCCCTCTCTCCTTCCTGCCTTCCCTCCCTCCCTGGGTTTCACTGGAC